ATCCAGCTTCCCGACGCGTCCACCTTGCACGCCGCGGCCGCCAGGTCCCCCGAGCGCCCCGCCTCGCGTCATTCTGCGCGCCGCGGCCGCCAAATCCCCAAGTTCCCCGAGTGCCCCCGAATGTTCCGCATCGCGCCATCTCGCCCACTCTGCATGCCGTTGCCCCAGATCCCCAGGATCCCCGGGTGTTCCCGAGCGCCCCTCCCGCCATGCGCCGACAAATCATATTATGCGAGGGCCGCGGCACACAATAACATAACATAATACACCCACATGCATAAGCTATGACACAACGTATCACAACACAACACTTCCTTACACATCTACCCGAGCACAGCATGCAATCTCATTACGGGACAGTTCGTGACATAGCACACAATGACAAAGCAGTGCGTACCAAATCATATCATCATAGCACACATCGTTCCATACCATAACAAAGCAATCATAGCATCACACACACATGGGTAAAGCATAGCAGTAAAAGACCAACGCAGGGCGTACCACAGCATTGCCTAACATGGCATATGTCATCATAGCACAACTCTGCATAACAACGCATGCGATGGCATATCGAGGCATACATAGAATGACATACCAGGGCAAACAGGACATACCATGGCATTGCTGATCATACCAAACCATGTCAGGATAAAACACACCACACCATAGCCCAAACACCACATCGAAACATACTAGTATATTGCATCACGTCACATGCGGCACACTATAACATTACAGAGCGGGGTATGACATGTTACCCACTAGCAGAGCACAGCGTAGCACACCACCATACTTTACGTCAGCGCGCGTCATACAGCAAAGCAACGAGCTCCAGTACATCACATCACCTACTACACCAAGACATAACATAGTATTACATACCAGCACGCGACATACCACTGCATATCATAGCATGCCGTCGCACCGCATGCAAGAACACACCACCCCATAACAAGTCAACATATACCGTCGTAGAACGCGTCGTACCACAATATAGCATACCAATTCATAGTATATCCGAACGGCAGAACAGAAACACACAACAACAACGCATAGATGTCCAGATCCTGTCAAAGCGAGACATCACAGTATACATCGATTCGACGCATGCAATGGCATCATGGGCCTGACGGACATCACATGACACCACACGCCACAACACAAGGGGACAGACCACACACTAAGACTTAATCTAGCAATGCACGTCTCGCGGTTGTATAACATAGCAGGTGATAGCTTAACGCACATGCACCGCAACTCATAGCATGACAACGAATTCTGCTACACTGTCTTATCTAGTGTTACAACCTATTCATACGCGACGTGCGCGCCGAGGTCAGGCTGGCCACGGGAGTTAACAGGCGCAGCAACGCTCTATCGGGCGCCGTACCTATCGTGACAAGCGTCACGAGGGCCCGTCGAGAACATAACAGGCACAATAGAGCACATTTTATTATGATAGGGTCCGAGCAGCAACATATAACGCATAGAGGACATAGCAACCAGCATGCCATCCCATAATGTTTGTACTGTTGCTACCAGCGCATCATCGACCTAGATATGTGACGGTTGGCTATAGCTGCGTGTCGTATATTATGATGCGCCGATCACACCTTAAACAGCACAACCTAAGCTATCACAGCTGAACCGAACCTGACTACTCATACGTATCATGTCATAACTGAATGTCACAGAGCAAAGTATACCATAGCATAACGCACCATTCATTGACAGAGGGTTGCATAACGGAACATACTTCTACAACGGAGAAACACACACATTTGAAGAGGAAATTCACACCATGAAAAGTTTTACAAAGCCATCGTCAAACGCGACGTGCGCGCCGAGGTCAGCCCAGCCACGGGTACAAACAAGCGCGGTTCCGACCGATCGGACGACGTATCCAATGTGACACTCATCACGCCGTCACGCCGTCCCGTCGACAACATAACGTAGCATATTATGGCATCGCATAATAAAACCTCATCGAGCTTCACATCGTTGTACACGGTTAGATACAGCAGCGACAGAGTCGGGTCGCATTGTCGAACGCAGCATCCGCGCATGACCGCAGGGAAAACAGGCGCGGCAACGACCGATTAGACTACATATCAAGCGTGACAGGCGTCACGACGTCACGCCGCCCCATCGAGAGCAGAAGAGAAACAAACATGTGTGTTTATAGCAGAAAAGAACAGAACGCATCGTGATAGAGTAGAGTTCAAAAGACACCGAGCACTGGCGGCCTTTCATACGCGACGTGCGCGCCAAGCCCATGCTGGCCACAAAAACAAATAGTAGCAGCAACGACCGATTATAAACCGTACCAGACGTGAAATGCGTCACGACGTCACGCCGGCCCGTCCACAACAGAACAACACATAGCATCATGTCATATACTACGTTGGGGCAGAATCGAACCTAACATGATATAGCACAATATTTCATAGACGCCATTCACCACTTCACGGCGTCTCATCTAACGCGACATACGCCCCGTCATTTGAGGAGGACGGGTCGCCTGAGGTAGGAGGAGGAGGAAGGAGAGGTCCGCCTCACCGCCTCCTCGTCTTCCTCCTCCCTCGTCGTCCGCCTCCTCCTCGTGCTGCTGATGCTGCTGCTCCTCCTCTTCCTTTTTCAACAGACTGCATATTCTCTCCGAACAAGTTTTGGGGTCTCGCAAGACGTGTTTTGGGTGCTAGTTTGTCGCTCCAAGGACTTGTTTCGGTTTCTTTCGTCAGGGGCCCTGGGGTTGTTAGATTTTCGGGCAACATAAATTTGCGACCTGACCTGGCCGCCGCGCTAGCCGAGACCGCCGGGTCCCGCGCACATCGTTCTAGCAGGCGCGCGCACCGTTGGGAGCAAGCGCCGAAGGTTTCGATGGGGATCGCTCGAAGCGAAATATTTCGAGACATCCTGAATAAATCGACTGCGGATCGGACCCTGAATCAAGCAAAACGGCAGTTTCGCTTGAGATATTTGCAGTAGAATTTCCAGACGGCCCAATCGACTCCCAAGAGGGCCCTAAAAGAGCCAAATATTGCCAAAGACAGTCCAAGACGGCCCAAGTGAGCCTCAATTGCGGCCAAGGAGCTCACAAATGGCTCAAGAAGTCTGCAGACTGCCCAAAACATCCCCGTTTATCACCAAGGCGGCCCAAGAGAGATCCACGAGGGCCCCAAGACAGCCCAATAACGTTTCAAGACGGCCCACACCGTATTCCCGCCCCGCCCGTCCGTCCAGCGCACACCCGGCACGCACGCCGTACACCTCCCCGTCCCGCCCACCCACGCGCACACGCAGGCATACATCCGCGCACATAGCCGCATGCATACACACATGCGCACACGCGCACACACGCGCACACACACACGAACATGCACGCATACAAACCATGCGCAACACATGACCAAAGGAACCACAGGCAGCCAAGAAACATAAGCCACTCATGGCAACCATCAGGGCATTTTTGGAAGCCCAGCAGGAACGAGAAGGTGATGTGAGTTTGTTAGGCCATGCTGACCAAGGAACAGCTAAATAAGTAAGACGCGAGGGATAACTGGCTCGCCGCCGCCACAGGCTCGCCTGTGACATCCTCTAAACAATTAAATGTTGAACGAGTTGTGTTATGACGTCTTATGGCTGGAAGTGAAGCTCTCGCTCGAGACATCGTCGAGACGGTGAAGATAGTGAAATCGCTGGTGGAGTTGACGCATTTTCAAAAACGAGGCTTTTGCTGGCGACGTCATCAAGCGATCGGTTTCGGAGGGGACCCTAGACATCCTTCAAACAATAGCATGTTGAACTAGTTGTTTCCGGACGTCGCATATGACGGGAAGATGTTGTGCATAACGAGAAAGTGATGAGAGTGTAATCGTCATCATCATCATCATCATCATCATCATCATCATCATCATCATCATCATCAGCAAGATCGTCGCCATCGGCATCATCATCGTCACGCCATCGCCGTTGCGAGTACCACTGTACATAACACGCACACGACATAACACACAACACATCCAACGCACATAACACAATACACCCCCAGCGCACGAGTGCTCATATACATGCATACCCCACGCAAGCCATACCCATGCCACCCACACGAGACACAAAGCGTGCCCAGACCGTGCGCCTTTCCCTTACGTCTGCCAGGCGCACACCCCGTACGCACACCGTGCACCCCCCCCGCCAGCCAGCCCCGTACGCACCCCGCACGCGCGCAGTAGCCCCCCCCCCACTCCCGCCCCATCGGCACACCCGGCACAGACGCGCGCACACACGCACACAACAGCACACACAGGCATACGCACACGCACACGCGCGGGGCAGAGCCTCCAGCACGGCGGCTCGAGAACCAACTCGTGGGCGCCGCAGTGCCGCGATGTTGCGTTGCCAGAGGCTGGCGCGGCGACTGACACCCATAGCACCAGAAGCACTGACCACACACACTCACACGCGCACGCACACAACACCCACCACGCGCAACACCTGACCAAAGCAACCGCAGGCAGCCACTGAGCACAGGCTACCAATCGGAACCATCCGGGCATTTAGGAGAGCCCAGCGATTGCACTCTTGGTGCACACATGCGTGATGGATGCAGACCCATGCGCGCGTGCGCACTCAAGCTCAGAGAAGCGGCGTTTCTTATTCTTCTCCGGATAGATTGGCGGATTAGCTGCTAGTGATTCCGTACCGAACGGAGGCCATCGAAAAGTGTTGTTGGCAGGAGACAAGGGATACGTGCGTATGCGTGCGCGCATGTGTTTGTGCACGCGGGTGTGCGTGCATTCAGGTGTAAGCACGCGATCACGTATGCACGGGTGCGGTTTTCCGCACAGTGATCTTACAGTCCACAGATACATGTATGCGTGCATGTGTTTCTTTTCCGTTGCAGGAGTTGGGGGGAAGGGCGACACGCCAAGGGCGGGGTGCAGCGTCCGACTACTCATCCGTGTTATCGTGGCTATATTTCCGTTGCTGTTCTTCAGGTGCCTGCCGCTGGGCTCCAGTCATTGCAAGGAGGCCTGGCGTCGTTGTACCAGCAGCCGCAGGCGGCATTGCACGCGGTCGAGGGCACCGAAACGTCGCCGATCGCTTTCAGGGGCGAGTGGTGGAGCGAGAAGTGTGATCCGTCCTCGATCTGACGAGAAGTGTGCGGCGCGACTGTTATAGTCGCCGATTGCTCTGCCTTCACTCATCACTCCTCATTCGATTCCGATATTCCGACGAGATGCGGGCCGATGTTTGCGTGGCGGTGTGCATTGTGGTGTAGCCGATCCGATTCGATTCCGACGCCGTGTCGAAACGGCTGGATCCAATGCACGTCCCGATTCGATCTGATGTCCCGGCTTGATGCTGACTGATTTTGCCCCCATCAATCCTCTTGCTGGCACGCGGTCTGCCGGGGCGGCTCCCTCGCCGCCGCCAGAGTGGTGTTCGGCGTGCTCAGTCCCAGCTGGCGCCTCGACCCGGCGGCCGTAGCAGCCCTCGCGCTACTATGGTGGCTAGAGAAGGCTTTGCGGCGGCGTTTCCCTTCCAAGCTTCGCGAAGAGCGCCACCGCCGCCGGGCACAGTCGCGGCCAGGGATCTCTCGCGACCGCGGTGCGCAACATAGCAGGCAACATAGCAGAGCTGCAGGTCGGGCCCGACGTGGAATCCTGGAGCGGCGCGCCGTCGGCGCCGACAGGCTGGAGACCTGCTGACCACCCGCTGCGCGCGCAGTGTTGCTGGAGGCTTGTCGCGCAGCGACTTTCCCAGGCTCACTTGAATTCAAATTTCACGCTCCATCTGCACTCGTGGCGTGAGTGGCCACGAGCATCTGCGGTCTCGCCCACGAAGGGGGCAAATATCAATAACAATATCACCAAATACTAGGACCTGGCTTCATGATAAAAGCAGGGCGCAAAGCTCATCGCTGCGTCGCGCCAAGTATCAAATAACGAGAACGTTTTTTTGGAGGGGATTGCACGGAATCCATGGAACTCGTAGATTTTGTTGATTTCGTAGGTTTCAACTAGCGAAAACAGCGACAATCAGCAAACTCCACGAACTTTCATGGATTTCGTTGATGTCCGTTGGTTGTGGACTCCCAAAACGCTAATAACGCCTTCCAGGACCCACGTGAAACAATCAGTTTCCACCATCCAGTTTTCACGCTTAAGATGCATTCGTGGCACTCTCTACGAAGTCCACGAAATCTACAACATCAGCGACCATCATCGAAATCCACAAGATGTCGTGGACTTTGTTTATTTGCGCTGATTTCGTAGATTTTCGTGGAATTCGTGGATGTCGCATATTTTTGTTGATTTTCGTAGATTTCGTTGGTTTGCCACAAGTGCATATTCAGCTTGAAAATTGGATGGTGGTAACTGATTGTTTCACTTGGATTCTGGAAGGCAACCTGCATGTTGGGGAATCCCACGGATGCGCGAAATCCACAACAATCATCGAACATCCTAGACATTTCATGGGTTTCGTGCGTTTCGTTGTTTTTTTTTCGGATTTCGCAAATTCGTGGAATCCCGAAGCGCCCATATTGCCTTCAGAATCCAAGTGAAACGCTTGGTTTTCACCCTTCCGTTCTCGAGCTTAATATGTCTTCGTGGCCATACACGAAATGAACAAACTCAGCGGGAATCAACGAACTCAATGAAAACTAACGAAATCCACGATATCAAAGACACACTGTGTATTGCGTTGGTTTTCGTTGATATCATTCATTCGGTGACTCCCGAAGGGTTTTTCATTGCCTTCCAGAACCCAGATGGAACATTTCGTTTTCACCAATCAGTTTTCGAACTTAAGATGCGTTTGTGGCAATACGCGAAATCAGCGAAATCATTGAACATCACCAACAGCCACCGAGATCAGCGAACGTTTTGTGGATGTCGTTGGTGCTTGTGGAGTGCGTGTGTTCGCTGAATCACAAAACGCGCAGATTGCCTTCCAGAGTCCACATGCCATAAAGGTTATCACCATTCAGTTTTCGAGCTTAAGATGCATTCGTGGCCACTCACGAAATCAACAACGCCCAGGAAAATCAACGATACCCACGAACATCAACGAACTCCACGAACCATTATGGACATCGTTGGTTTTCGCTGATTTCGTGGGTTCGTGGTATCTCTAAACGCTTAGATTGCCTCTCAGAGTCCAACTCAAACAATGGGTTTTCACTATTCAGCTCTCGAGCTTGAGATGCGTCCGTGGCAACCCACGAGCTCCGCGAAATCAGCGAAATCAACGACATGCACCCACATAGTTTAAATCTCCGAATGTGTATAGATGTCATGCTGTTCGCTGATTTCGTGCGGATTCGCTGAATCAAAAGACGCCCATATTGCTTTCCAGAATCCCAAACAACAAGCTTTCACCATTCAGTTCTCAAGCTTAGACAGCACCCGTGGCAATCTACCAAATCAGCGGAAATCAACCACATGAGCGAAATCAGCGAAAGCTAAGAAACCAGCGAGAATCAATGAAATCAATACCATTTCGTTGATGTTGTTGATTTTCGTGGATTTCGCAGATTTTGACAGATTTTATGGGTGTCGCGTATTTATTGATTTTCGTTGATTTCGTGGATTGCTTCGACTGCGTCTTAAGCTCGAAAACTGGATGGTGGAAGACAATTGTTTCATTTGGACTCTGGAAGGCAATCTGAGGAGCGCTTGGGGATTTTACGAAATTCGCGAGAGTCAGCGAAATCAGCGACATCTCACAAATTTCTGCGGATTTCTTTGGTTTTCGTGGATTTTGCGGAAATCCAAAACGTTCATATTGCCTTCCAGAAACAGTTTGCTTTCACTATTCAGTATTCGAACTTACGATGCATTCATCGTCGTGGCAATCCACGAAATCAACCAAATTCTTTAAAATCAGCGAAATCACCGACATCAGCGAAGTTAATTAAAACCAGCGAACCCCCCGCAAACCCAGCGAATCCGGGTGATGTCGTGGATTTTTGCTGGCGCAGTGGATACCCGGCAAATCTGATAAATTCGCTGATCTTGTGGATTCCGTTGACTTCTTTGACGTTTGTGGATGTCGTCGCTTCCCATCTTAATTTCAGAAATGGAATGGTGACAGCCATTTGCTTCAATTAGATTCTGGGGGGGGGGCAATATGGGCGGTCGGGAGCCCCCGGAACCTGCGAACATCAACGGTTGTCACAGATTTCGCTGATTTCGCGGATTTGTGGAATCCCAAGACGCGCATGTTGTTTGCTAGACTCCAAATGAAACAATGTGTTTTCCCCATTCAGTCTTTGAGCTTAGGATGCATTCGTGGTTATCCATTGAAATCAACGGAAGTCAATTGACATCAATGAAATCCACGAGAATCAGCGAAATCCAAGACATGCACAAGATCCGTTCATGTTTTTGTGGATTTCGTGAATTCGCGGATTCCCTTGCGCATTTCTTTATATTTTGTTGATGTCGTGGATGCCGCGGGCCCCCAAAACGCCCGGATTGCCTCCCAGAGCCCAAGAGAAAATATTGATTGTTCTTTGTAGTTTTCGATTTTAAAATGCATTCTCGGCCATCCACGAGGTCCGCTGAAATCATTCAACCCTACGACGTCCGCGAAAGTCATGGATTTCGTTGACTTCGTGGATCTCGTGGGGTTCGCTGGTTTTCATTGATTTCGTTGATTCTTGGAGTCGCAAAACGCCTATATCGCCTATCAGGACCCAAATGGAACACATCGCGTTCACAATTCGATGCTCGACGCTAAGACGGATTCGTGGCAACCCACAGAATAAACAGGAGTCAGCTCAATGTTCCGATGCTCTTGATTTCCTTGATTCGGTGGAACCCCAGCGCGCTCACATTGTGACCAGAAACAAAATGAAATATGTGGTTCCCACCATTCAGTTTTCGAAACTTGCGCTCTTCCTTTGCGGCGCACGATGCCTGCAAAATCAACAAAACCAAGACACCCACCAAACGCACGAATGTCGTGGATTTTGCTGTTTTTGTGGGTCCGTGGAATCCAGAAAAACGGATTGCTCGCCAGAATCCGGATGAAGTAGTTTGTTTTCACCTATCAGGTTTCGAAGCTAAGGCGCGTCTGCAGCAATCCACAACATCTTGCGTGGCGTCCATGCATTACACGGAAGTTCCCGTGTCGTTCGTGAAATCACAAGACGCCAATGTTGTCCACGTATTTGTGAAACAGTCATTCAATTTTCGGAGCTACGACGCATTCGTGGCAATCCAGAGTCTCTGAGGGGTTCGCGGAATGCACGAAAACTACCGCCGGGTTCGTGGAATCGCAAAACGCAATGTTGTTCCCCCAGAATACAAGTGAACCGATCGGTTTTCACCATTCAGCTTTCGAGTCTAAGACGCGGTCGTCGTTGCAGCCCAGTCGATGTTTCGGCGCGTCCGCGATGCTCGCGAATCGAGAGCCGCCGCCTCCCGCGTCGGCAGGGGGGGGCCGTGGTGGCAGATCCGAAACGGCATGAATCTTGCGCAATTTCAAGTGCATAGTTTTTCTTCTTGCGATGCATGCCCCATGGGGAGCTCCAGCTAAAGCCCGCAGTTCGCGCGTGGGCGCCACCGCCATTTCGGCGCGCCCCCCGCGCAGTTCCTGGCCCCAGTCGGAGCTCCACCTAAGGCCCAGCGGCGCGGCCCGCACGCGGGCGACCCCCTTGCATTTTCCAGCGCGCCCCCCGCGGAGCTCCACCGAAGGCCCCAGCGGCGCGGCCCGCGTGCAGGCGCAGACTCATAGGGGCTCCCACCTCAGACCGCATTCACAATTGCAGCGCCCGCATCTGTGCATGGCTGGGTTCTTCGCCCGTCGTTGTTGGCGCATTGTTGTTTTTGTTTTTTTTCTCCCTCATCTCAGAGGGGCTCGACTCCGAGCGGCGGGTTCATCGGGCATTCGCGCAGCGCTTCGCGCTGGGGCGCGGCCGGGGGCAAACCCAGAGATGGCGAGCAGCGATGGGGGTGGGCGGGAACAGGGGTTGTGGCGACGTCGACGTCGAGACGCAGCTGGGGGTGCGAAGAGAGGCGCGCTGCCGCCTCCTCCATCTCGATGTCAT